TAAATATTCACTATCCCAAGGGGACTCTGGGTGGGACTGGGTAGAGAATGCCAACTTGATTTATCCTTAGTATGTGATCAATGCTCCATAAAGCAGAGGAAGGGGTGTAGAGATCTTCTACCGAATATCACGTACAAGTGTCTTGATATAGTGTGTGTGTGTATGTGCATGTGTGTGTGTGTATGTGCATGTGTGTGTGTGTGCATATGTGTTGTGGGTTCATACAATGGTTCCATTAACCACAATATAATTTTTGTATTATATTTTGCACTGTCTCTATATTATAATATTGTATTATACTTTTATATAAATGGGAGCATACTTAGCATATGCTCACTTCTACTCAAACATGTATCTCAGACATTTATTMATGTCTGTACAGATAGCTCTACTTATTTTTGATGGTTTCATAGTACTTTATTGTATAAAAAAGTCATAATTTAGTTAGCCAGTTCCTATTGATAGAGGTCATATTGTTTCTATTTATTGTGTTATTATGATAATTTCATGACTACTATACATATGTAGATATCATTGTGCACCTGTATGAATATATCTGTGAGAAGAATTCCTTAAAATGCATATAAAAGTTCTAGGTCAGAGAATAGGTATGTATATTGAAAAATTTGATAGTTATTACAAGTCTCCCCCCCATAAGAAACTACATCAATTTATACTCCTATTACAGTATATACAAAAAATATGTTTCTCATACCTTTTCCAACACCAAACCTTAATCTTTAAAAAGCTAATGGTACTGTTTTTAAGTGCCTCATGATTACTTTAATTTGCAGCATTAAAATTATGAATCAGATCCACATCTTTTTTATTTACTATTGGGGCATCTGCATTTTTTCCCATTGAATTATCTATACATACACTTTGCCTGGCTTTTCTACTGACTTTTTTTCTTAATCATTCTTAAAAGTTCTTTGCATATTAAGGAAATTCTTTCTTACCTGTGTTTTACTTTTTGCCCCCCAATTTTGTTCGTTGTCTTTTGGATGTTTTGTTTTGTTTTGGTTTGGTTTTTTGCAGTACTGAGGATTGAACCCAGGGCCTCTCTACCACTGAGCTACACAACCCCAGTCCTTTTTATTTTATATTGAGACACGGTCTTGCTAATTTGCCCAGACTGTCCTTGAATTTGCAATTTCAACTCCTGCCTCAGTCTCCCAAGTCACTGAAATTGCAGACATGCGCCACTTTACTCAACTTCTTTTGGTGTTTTTACCTACATACAAAAGATTCACCATTTTAACAGTTATTTATATTTTATCTTTATTTTTAAAAAATATTTTTTAGTTGTTGACAGACCTTTATTTTATTTATTTGTATGTGGTGCTGAGAATCGAACCCAGTGCGTCACAAATGCTAGGCAAGCAAGTTACCACTGAGCCACAACCCCAGCCTCTATATATAACATATTTTTAAAAGGCCTTTCCTAAGATTATAAATATTTTCCCTTATGTTTTTCCCTAGTTTATTTTTTCCATTTAAAGTTTTGATCAACTTGAAGTTTTTGTTTTAATTAATATAATTATGCATACTTATGGGATGCACTGTGGTATTTTTGATACACATATACAATGTGTAATGATCCAATCAAGGTAAGTAGGATATCCATCACCTCAACAACCATTTATTTTGATATAAAGAGTGAAGTAGCCAGGAGCCATGGGACATACCTGTAATCCCAGCAGCTTGGGAGGCTAAGGCAATAGATCATGACTTCAAAGCCAGCCTCTGCAAAAGTGAGGTGCTAAGCAACTCAGTGAGACTCTGTCTYTAAATAAAATACAGAACAGAGCTGGTAGGTGGCTCAGTGGTTGAGTGCCCCTAAGTTCAATCCCCAGTACTCCTCCAAACAAGAGTGGGTCCAATAGGCTGCATTTATAAACACCTACATATATTTGGATCTGTTTCTGCACTCTCTACTCAGGTCCATTATTTGTCTGAAACTTTACTTCCAAGAACAATTTCAGTTATTGGAGCTTTATTGTATGTTTTAACTGTTCTAGGGCTTCTACCCATTTTTTTAATTGCAGAATTTTTCTAACTATCCTAGAGTAATTAATATTTAACATCATTTGGACAAAGTCTCCTACCCCAAATCTGTTAATATTTTGTTTGAGATTGCTTTGAACTAAAGGACTACTTAGGGGAAATGGACATCTTCATGATTTTCAGTCTAAGAACAAACAACATCTCTCCATTTATGTCCTTCAGTGGAGTTTAAGTTTATTCCTAAGGATTCTCTATTTTTTTGTTGTTGTTGATGAGCTCTTTTTCCCTATTATGCTATTGTTTGTTTATAAGAAACCTAGTGATTATATTGATAATAGATTATTCTTAATTCTTCAAAATTAAGCATATTTATGACTTTAGGATACTTACAGTCTTTTCCTACTCTATTATGTGACTTTAAGATATGAATGCTCTTTACCTGAAAATACAATCCACAGCCAGACTTGCTGCCTAGGCCTGCTGCACCCTCTGCAGGCGCCAGGACACTTAACCCACCCGTTGCCCTAGYGCCAACCTTCTAGGTCAGGCTGTTCAACTCCAGAGCTTCTCCGGGTGGGGATTGCAGGATAAAGCGGGAGCTGCTGGCTGAGGGCTGTGCAGGCCTGTCCTGAGAGGCCGCTGCTGCTGACACTAATATCCCATGGCCATGTGGGAGATGGCCCAGTGGAACTGCTCTTCTAATTTTTTAAGGGAAGCCAGAAATTCATATTATTTTTTAAGTGTGGCTCAAATTTTCTTAAAGCCCTGTATGAGGCAATTAGACATATCTATGTGATAGATGATTCTTTTCACTAGCTGGCCACTTCTATAGACATGCACCTCAGAAAGGAGTCCTCGGCCTTGATTCACTGGATTATTATCCACAAGGATGTGCACAAACAGATGTAAAGTCTTCTTGTGACTTGCCTAAGCCCAAGTTCCCCATGAGCCCCAGTTCTCTTTTTTTGGTTGAACCCCAATTCTAATCACCAGCCCTCTCTCTGCAGTGCGGTCACCTCTGGGATCTCATTTAATCATCGGAAGGACCCTGAGAGACCAGGACCATTTCACAGATGGAAAATTGAGGCTCAGTTTTCCAAAGGCAGACAGCAAGGAAGTGGCAGCCCTAGGATGGGCCCCCAGATTATCTGTGTGGTAGAGGGGTCAGCTGCACAATCCCTGGTGTCCACTGCAGTGCCACTGATCACTACCTATGACCTTAGCCAAAATATTCAATTGTCCTGGTTCTTTAGGCAAGAAACAGACATGCTTATAACAGGACCCACCTCCCAGGGTTCTCCTGAGGGTAAAACAAACTCACTTAGCAGAGTGGCTAGCACTCAGTAAGCACTCAAGGAAGTGACYGTGACGATTATTACAAGCTGGTCTAGTCTTCTTTCCACTCTCCCRCCCCCACCTCCCTAATTGTGCTTCCTTGAAAAGAATAAGGATCAGGTTCTAGGGGACTGAGGGCCAGCTCTCACTCTTCTCCTTACCCCTTAAATTGGGCAAAATGGGAAGCTGTGAGAAGTCCTGTCATGGACCCTGCTGACATCAGCAGAGAAGACCTCATTCAACATCTGTGTAAAAGTTCACTCGGATTGAAGCTCCCTGGCTCCTTACCCCGTTGCTCACCTCTCCCAACCCACAGCTCAGCTGCACTGCAGGCTCCCCACCTCAGGTGCACTGGGATCAAGTCACTCTTGCCAGCCCATCTGATCACCTGTATCCAGACCTGCAAACAGGGCCCTAGCTATTTCAGCCTGAGCCCCAGTACTGGCCTTCAGGTTCAGGCCTCAGCTGGCCCTCCCTGCCTTGCTGCTCTAGCCTAAGGCATGCCTGGGACTTAGTTCCTGTCTCGCCCATCCCTACTACTAAAATTCCAACCCAGATCCAGTTCTCAGCATCCCTGATGCATGCACAGCCCACCTGCACATCTGAGAACTCCTCATCTCTGTCACTACTCACTGTGTTCTGCACACCAGCCTGTGGGGAGATCGGGCCAAACCCCCACCCAGTGCTCAAGCCCAAGAGCAGCCCATCAGTCCGCCACTGTCTACTTGTATCTTGTGCCTGCCAGGTTGGGCAACCCCCTGGAGATGGCCACTGAGCCTGTTCCTAGGGTTCCATGGGGCAGAGCGATGGAGCTATGGAGACGGGTCCTCTGCAGCAACAAGCCCAACGGTGACAGGCCACATAAAAGGGTTCAGAGAGGGGTAACACTAGCTCCATTTCTTGGGTACCTACTTCTTGGGTACCTACTGTGTGCCAGGCAAGAGTYAAAGCACCTTATACCCAGGAACATGTTTATTATCCTCGCAGCAGCCCTGGGCAGCAGGATTTTGCTATTCCCATCATACAGATCAGAAAACCACAGCCCAGAATTCTTACATGACTCACCTGAGATTGCACAGCTAGAAAGAGACAGGCACAAATCCAGTTATGAGTGGAAGGGCCAAACTCTTTTGCTTTGCCTTCTGGGGATGGAGCCCAAGAACTTGGCTCATGCTAAGCAAGTGCTCAACCACTGAGCTACACCCCAGCCCCAGGGCCCAGACTCAGTCTTCACACGGACAGTGAACATCCTGGCTGCCTTGGGCCTTCCAAGAAGGCAATTGCTTGGCACCTACCCAGCATCTTCCAGCCTAAGCCTCTGGCCTCCTTGACTCATCCCCTGTCTAGAAAATCGAAATGCCACCTGCAAAGGGTTCCACCCCTCCCTGAAGCTGGCACCAAGCAGGGCTGCCTGGCTTAGGAGAGGGATAAATCCCAGACTTCTGAACACTTGACCCCACTCACAGGCACTGCCCCCCCCCATTTTTTTTGTTCTCTTTGAGAACAATGTACAATTATGTCTCATCACAGCCAAAACTGCGGCCCCAGCAGTCTCCCCCTGACCTGTTCCAGGACCTCATAACCTCATTAAAGTAAATGGCCAGTCATGTCCAAAAGCACCAAGAAGCCGTTCTTCCCCTCACCCCCGTTGCCCTCACCTGTCACAATGGGGTAGGACTGTGGGCCCGGCACGCTGCTCCCGATGTCCGCGGGGGTRGGGCTGGTCAGGTTGGCCTTCATGTCGTCCAGTCCTCCGGCCAGTGAGGCCATGGCTGAATACTCGGTGGTCTGAAAGAGGAAGCAGAGACACCTTAGCACCCCCGTTCTGAAGCCCCCTAATCAGATGCCACCGCCATGTTCTGGACTGAGCCACTCAGCTGGGCTAGTCCATGCTTGTGCTGAAGCCCACAGGGGCTCATGATTCCTCTGGTGTTGAAAGGATGGATTCGGCTAGACAGAAGGAGAGTTGTCCAGAAGTAACAACGGTCCCCAGGTGAAGAGGGGAGCAGGGGTCAGGGCAACTTCTCAAGAAGTTAGACCCTGTGGCCTGCAGGTTCCCCTGGCCCAGACCTAAATAGCCAGAGGCATCCGTCCCCCTCAATGCCAAGAAGGAGATATCAGTAACCAAAGCCAGGTATAAATAGCAGTCAGAACAGTGTCTGATTTCTGTGCTCTCTATTCCACAGGATAGAACTGTAAAAACAAGGGTTTAAAAGAAACTRGGAGCTCATCCGGGCTAGACCCTCTTTCACAGACAGGTAAACTGAGGCCCAAGGGGAGAAGGGCTTCRTGCATGATAGAACAGGCAGAATCTCAGCTCAGGGGATGAGTTACCATAAACTGTCACCATAAATCCCATACATCAAGCTCTCTGARTCAGTTTGGCAAATGGTTTTAAATGGTAGAAGCATGTAAACACCTCGATGCTGGAAACCCTGGGGTCACAGTCCCACTCATCAAGTCCATGCCAATCCTGTGCAGTGGCCATGCTCCTTTCTTTAGGCCATTTCATGAAATCAGAGCTTGCCACAAGTCATTTCTTTGCCATTCAGGTCATGTCAGAATGGCCTCCAGAGGAAGCAGGGAAGATACCAAACTGCATCTTCCCATTTAAGGAAGATCAAATTACAAACATGAGCCCCACATCCCTTCCTCCCACCAAACCCCACGCCTATTTTTGGTTAAAGAAAGCATTTGCAAACACTTAAGCTAAAGACTTTGGCTATGCCTGCCAAGCTTTGGTGTGGGGAGCTTCCCAGGACCTTGGCATTGCCATGGGGGACACATCCTTGTGTATCCAAGGTTATGTCCTTGGCACACAGGGACAGAGAAGCAAGCAGTTTTCTGTAAGGGGTTGCAGGCCCCCGGGGTAGGATGATGAGGACTAAGCCACCAGAGGGAAACCAAAGCAGAMACTGGGCAAGGGGCAGGCGGAAGGGATTCAGGTCAGGCATGATCCTGGCACTTTTCTCTGTAAATCAGTTAGAAAGCACTTCCCAGGCAGCTTCAATGCCAACCAGGGTTGATGGCAGCCATGTGTCCAGAAGGTGCTGCAGGCCCCGGGGCCCTGAGATGATGCTTCCTGAGGACAGCTGATCCAGAATGCCCTGGGCTCATCCATCATCTTCCAGCAGAGGCTGATGCCAAAACATGTAGAGAAGAGCCCAGGCCCAAAGTGAGCCCAGGGACTTCTAAGGGAGAAGAACAAGGCCAGAGGGCGGGCCTACCTCCATCAGGAATCACTATGAAGCTGCAGTAATTAAGACAGTGCAGTATTGGCACAGAGACAGATAAATAGACCAATGAAACAGAACCGAGGCCAGAAACTGATCTGTGCACATATGGAACCTTGATCTATGAGAGAGGAGACGTACAAATCAGAGGGAAAGGATGGACTCTTTAATAAACAGTGTGGGGTAACTGGTTATCCATTCAGAAACAAGGAGAAAAAAGAAATTGGATCTTTACACCAGACACAAAAATCAATCCCAGGTGGATTAGAGACCTAAATGCAAAAAGCAAAGGCATCTAATGTGGCCAGCTCTATGTCCAGCCAAAAGTCCTTGGGCATAAGCCTGTCCTTCATAGAAGAGGGACTGAGGGCCTTTCTGTCCCCAGCTGCTCATATAGGGCTCCTCCTCCAGCAGCCTTTCCTGACTACAATTACTTGGGAGGCACAAGTCCCACTTTACCTGCTGGCCCTGCCAATTGGTACCGGGAGACAGCAACCTCACCAGCACATCAGTAGCTTATCAGCCACTTACTCTATCTAGACCAGAAGCGTTACCTGTGTCCTCCCATCTCATCCTCACAGTCGCCCATGAAATAGCCTAAATTGTCCCCATTTTACTGATGGAGAAATCGAGACTCTTATTATAAGAAGGAAGTGACTTGCCTGAGGTCACACAGTTTTTAAGTCCCAGAGCCAGGATTCGACCCGGGTCCATCAAACTTCATAGTCTTGACAATGACCCTAATGATTTTACTACTATTGGTCCTGACTCATTAAGAGGTGGTGAGATCAATATGGTGGTCCCAACTATTTTTTTAAGGGAAATGAAAATTAAAGAGAACAGAAAATATCCAAGGCTCTCACACGTAGAAAAGGCAAGACCTAGTTTATGAATCTTTGTTGCACATATCAGTGGCTGTATGTGTGTTAGATGGAGATAAAACTCCATTTCTTGCTCTAAGTTATGGCCAGCGGTGTTGGAAAAACACTACCTTCATTGCATGCAGCAGGGAGCCTTTGGGGAAAGGTCACTGTCTAGACTTGGTTCCTGTAGGATAGAACTTGGTCATGGCATTAGCCTCCTAATTTGCTAACGATGAATTTGGAAGTAAAGCTCACCAGAAGCAGCTCCTTTAGTGCACTGCAAAGATGGAGGTCAAAACGCCTCTGCAAGGCTCTCAGGTGGCATCTTCTAGAGTTTCTGGGTCCCTGGGGACAGGTTTCCAGATACCCTGCTGGAGGCCTGAGCATAGTGGATTTGTGTTCCTTCCAGTATTCAACCCTCTTGTGTTCTACATGGGCTGTGAGACCAGACCTGTTCTTGGACAAATCCCAAGAGAAAAGACACATGGCCCCCAGAAATTCCAGCCATGAAAAATAAATGCACAGAGCCATTCTCATGGGGCAGGGAGTAGTCACGAAAGGTCTTGGGGCAGGCTGTTTTTACCCTGCGATGAGCAATCCCTGACCAGGCTGAGAACAACTAGAGGAAGGCTCCGAGGTGATGGGACAGGAGTGACCCACAGGCAGGACACATGCACTAGCTGGAGAGGGCCGAAGTATAAAGGGTCAACGTGGAAAGGTAGACAACTGGGATCTGACCACAAGGGGTGCACATGAACACGCGGCTGCGCAGTGAGTGAGTGCTCCCTCAGAGCCGGGTGGCACCCCAGCCTCGAGTCAATGCACCTGCGCCCTCCCCACCGATCCCAGGTCTGCTCCCTTCCCACCCTCCAGCCTCCCCTCTCTGGTATGATCTTCAAGGGGAAGTCTGCTTCCCCCAAAGATGTGGCACCAATGCCCTGGAGAACGGCAGAAGGGACCGTCAACCCCACCTCAGAGTGTCTTTACTTTCCAGATGGAAATTGCTATTTGATTTTGCTTTAGTCAATAAGTTCAGTATCCAAGTTCATCTAGTCACTCCAGCGGCTGGGTTTGGATCATCTCTTCAAGACAGGACATCTTCAACTGTGCGACACACACCTGGGGAGGTCCCAAAACTCCAGACTCAACCCCCACYGGCTCCCAGCAGGTAAAGCAAACCTCCCTAAGAGCTGCGGCTTGGGGGACTTGGAATGAGACCTCAGATGCCCCTTGTCATCGTGCCTCCCACTTCACCACCTGGCCAGTCCTGCCTGGAGCCCAGCCCCTCCTTGTTGATGGGATTCTACATCTCTGCTCCTGCATGAGCCAGGGGATGCTGTCATTTCATTTTGCCCAATTATTCCCCAAATCCTCATCACTGTCTAACCCTTGGAGCTGCCAGTGATTTTTTTTAAAGGCAACTGCATCTTTCCAATATCGGGAGCTCCCCAGAGCATTACTGCACCAGAGGCTTCCAGGACCTGTCCTGCCTCGGCCTGGAAACCCACCTCAGTCACTGAGAGAACTCTTATACTGTCTGCAAAACCCAGCACAAATGTCACCTCCTCCAAGACATTCCTGGCCCTAAAGCCCTAAAAATAAGTAACTACCCTCTCACTCTGCTTCCTCACTTGGTGGTATTTTCCAGAAAGACCTCCTTTATCATACTTCCCATCACACATAATGGCTGTTTGTCTGTCTCCCTCCAGGTTGCCTTGAGAACACGGAACATACTGGTCCCAAAGTGTTTGTTGAATGAATGACCCAGTAGCACAATATAAGTCACAGCTCTCAAGAATTAATTGGAAGGTATTTGGACAATAGTTCCAAGTGATATGCCAACATCTTCTGCCCTCCTCTCACCTCTACCCCTCATCAAGTCAGGTGACTGGAAAACAATGTCCCTGTCCAAAATTAGACTCTGGGGAAGTGTCTTCTCTGGTATGTGATGGAATATTAGGCATTCAACATTTGTTATGAAAAGAAAAGAAAAGAAAAGAAAAGGACCATACAAAGATTATGTTCTTTTTGTTTTGTTTTGTATTTTGATACCAGGGATTGAACCAAGGGGTACTTAACCACTGAGCCACATTCAGCCCTTTTTCATTTTTCATTTTGAGACAGGGTCTCACTAAGTTGCTGAGGTCAGCTTTGAACTTGTCATCCTCCTGCCTCAGTCTCCCGAGCCACTGGGATTACAGGCATGCGCCACTGCACCTGGCCAAAGGACTGGTCTGCAGACACTGCCCACTAGAATATTCAGATTCTTCATCAATCACTTCTGCATTTCAGTACCAGAAAAAAGGGGGGTTTTTCCCCTTGATGAATTGTTAATTTGCTTCTGACTGAACAACAAGAACTTTAGAAACCACTGCATATCCCTTTTTGCTTTGCTGCCAGGAAACTCTGTCAAATTCAACCACCATGATCACATCATGGCTGAATCCTGGTACAGTGATCTTCCTCTTTACATAATTTCTGAACTTCTTTTCACACTTAACTCATTTAAATACACGTAATAGCTTATTTTGCAGGCCACCTCAAGACCTTTGGGAAAGTGGAAGCTGGGTGAGACCGAATGATAGAAAAAGAAAGATGGGCAAGAAGGAAGAAAGAGAAGAAAATAGAGAAGAGAGTAGAGAAGGCGTTGCAGGTGCCTCTTCTCCTGCTAACAGTAGCAATCTACTTGCAT